GTTGGCCTTTAGGAGTGTTTTCCAGTCCAGTCTGTTGGGGTACCACACCCTGGCCCCAAAGTCCACCTTCAGCATTCCCTGGGGACCTTGCTGCTCCATTCCCTTGCTGTTCTGCTGCACTCCCCCAGTGCTTGAGGCAAGTGCTTTCTAAAGGAGTTAAGAACACCTGCCTGGAGATGACCACCCTGAGGAGAAACACCCGATTGTGTTCTCGAAACCCAGGATGTCGTTTGCATGTCCGAGTTTGAGCCAAAGCCCGCCAGTAAGAGCCTCTTTTGAGCAAGAACAAGAGACACATTCATTCCTCCCGGGGAGACAAATTTTATAGCTACTGAAATGAAAGAAAAGGAGTAGGTGTTAGAAAAAGTGGGCTGTGACAGGGGATTAAGAAGTCAGTCAAGGGGACAGGACCAGAAATCTTCAATTTCTTAGTGCACAGCTTCAAGACATCCAAAATAGTCCATGACTTAGCCTTTCACTCATAAGCATTTGATATACATGGGTCTGTGTCCACGAGAATAAAATATGGCAACTTTTCATTTCCATTTGGAACTTAACTATATAGTTCCAAATTACAGAATTCCATTAATAATTTTAATGAAGTTGACTGCTATCATGTTCATGAAAGATCTTTTTGTCTGTTGGCTAATTTCATAAACTTTATTTTTAGTGATTAAGAAAGTTGTAAAATTTCATGAGGTTTACAAAGAAGATATAATTCCCTCATTGTATCACAGTTTCCTCTGTTTAGTATTTTAACACACTGCAACCATGTTGGTTATGCTAATGTGTATATTCTAACCTTGTACAAACTCTGGTTTCATGATGGATGAATTAAAATGGGATTTGAGCTTTTGCTAAAGGTGACTTTCCCCCCCAAAAAAACATCAGGAGTCATAAATGGACATAATTCTAAATAAATCAGATATTAACAAAAATGAGACTATTATAAATCACATTTGGAAAGATTTATTAGAAATTGGTGTTTAAAAATGATTTATACCAATATTAAAAATGTAATCCAAAGAAAGGTTTATTTAGTGTTGTGCAATTTGAGTGTTCCAGGAAGAGACAAGCAAGGTTTGAAATAAAGATTACTTCATAACATAAATCCATACCTGTAACATAAATTTATTCAGTACACCATTATGAATGGGACACGCAACCTTCTTACATCAGGTTACAAAATAGTTTAAACATTTCTTCTACCCAGAGATGTACAATGTATGTCTTATTTACACAAATAGAGTGTGGCCCACGAACAATTACATCACATTTATGATCAGTTTTGTTATTCACATGGATGCCCTACGGCGGACCAAGCAGAAAGCGTGTCACCCAGGAGAGAGCTGGTACATAGAGTTCTAAGGTAACTGCCCCGTGGTCTTCTATGTATAATCCTATTTATCCCCGAGCGTCACGAGAACTGTGAAGATGATGCGGTGCACTCCTCAGATCTGACAAAAGGAAGATGATGGTGATTGGGCCTGACCTAATCAGCCCAGCTCTTGAAAAGCACAGGGTTCTCTAGGTGGTTGCAGGAGTCAGCTACTCAAAGCATGCAACGAATTCAATGCACAGTTGCTGGCTTGAGGTTGGACGGAACACATGAGAAGGGATGCAGGTGGCCTTTATAACTTTCCAGAGACTGATGGCCAACAGAGGGTGACACACTAGAGACGACCTCAATCAATCCTACAGTAGAAGAAACTGGATTCTCTCAACTTGAATGAGCTCAGATGTGGATTTAACCCCCAGAGGCTCCAGAGGAGAACTCAGCTTGGTCAACACTTTGATTCTAGCCTTGTGATAGATACCCTGAGAGCCCAGCTGAGCGGGTAGGAGGTGGGAGTTTGGGGGGGTGGGGGTGGGGAGTGACTTTGGGCCTACACAGCTGTGGCCTGATAACACAGGCATTATATTAAGGGGATAAGTATGTGGTAATTTGTTATACAGCAATAAAAAACAAATACAATAGCAGCACAAATTTTGGTAACAAACAAACAACCCCAAACCCTCTCCAAAGCAAAACAATTCACTAGTATTCATTTCCATTTGTTTTCATCCTTTATATGTACAGTTTTTCACATTTGTGTAATCCAGCTGGTTTTCATTGTTTGCATTCTATAAATACCATTTAAACCATTTTTAGTCCTGCAGTTTCAGGGACTGAAACCAGCTCTGACTTCTAAAACTTACAGTGCCTCTCGGGGCATCAGCCTTAATGCATTTTTCAGGTTTGCGTACTTCATTCAGGATCCCTGAAACACAAAATTGCATGAAGGTATCTATTAATGAACAACAGTATCATATTTTTTTAAATCATTTTATTGGGGGCTCATACAATTCTTATCACAATCCATACATCCATCCATTGTGTCAAGCACATTTGTACATTTGTTGTCATCATTCTCAAAACATTTGCTTTCTACTTGAGCCCTTAATATCAGCTCCTCATTTTCCCCCTTTCCTCCCCACTCCCCCCTCCCTCATGAACCCTTGATAATATATATATTATTTTGTCATACCTTACACTGTCTGACGTCTCCCTCCATCCACTTTTCTGTTGTCCATCCCCCAGGGAGGAGGTTTTATGTAGATCCTTGTAATCAGTTCCTCCTTTCTACCCCACCTTCCCTCCACCCTCCGGGTATTGCCACTCTCACCACTGGTCCTGAAGGGGTCATCTGTCCTGGATTCCCTGTGTTTCCAGTTCCTCTCTGTACCAGTGTATATCCTCTTGTCTAGCCAGATTTGTAAGGTAGAGTTGGGATCATGATAGTGTGTGGGGGGGGAGGAAGCATTTAGGAACTAGAGGAAAGTTGTATGGTTCATTGTTGCTACCCTGCACCCTGACTGGTTCGTCTCCTCCCCGTGACCCTTAACTAAGGGGGTGCCCAGTTGCCTACAGATGGGCTTTGGGTCTCCACTCTGCACTCACCCTCATTCAAAATGATATGACTTTTTGTTCTTTGGACAATGGTGTCATTAGGCAGATCCTAACAACATGTTTCTAAGACGGAAGAACATCTTAGAACTGGAGTAACTCATGAAACAGCGTCTAAAAATGTCGAAGACTTTGCCCAAGAATCCCTCTTCAAAGTCGTTAGCGTCACAATGCAAAAATCATTACTACAATGAGTGAAATCAATGAAATCAAGACATCCACCAGTGGCCTAGCCCATCAAGTGTCACTCATCCATGGAAGTGCATTGATGGGCTGACTCACTCCTGAAGAGACTCGATTTTCATAGTACCCGCCATCCAAACCAATACCATTCCAGCAAGCATCAGCTTCAAGATTCAGAAGTGTAAAGAAGAAAAGCAGACAGTCTTTCCGACCCAACGAAGTGACTGAATTGTACTCTGTTTTTGCCGAATTAAATTGGTCTTTACTTGCCTGCCTACCAAGATGCTCATGTTTGCTTAGCTGCAGACTAAATGCAAACCGTTCACAAGCTCTTGTTATCTGGTTATGTTAATTATTAAAAGCCATAAAAACTAAGAAGGAATTTCTCTCTGTGGTCAAGCCAGAAGGTGAGGTACATTCTAAGAGAATCTTTTTTTAGTTTTTGCTTTTCCTTTTTAAAAATCATTTTATTGGTGTATAATCCACATAACATACAATTCAATCATTTAAGAAGTTGTGTAATCATCACGATAACCAATTTCAGAACGCTTTCTTCTTGGACTCATTGTTGTTAGCTTCCCTGCCATGGTCCCATGTCATAAGGAGCCCTGGTGGCATGTGGGCTGCTAATTGAAAGGTCAGCAGTTCGAAACTACCAGCTTCTCTGAGGGAGAAAGATGCAGTTTTCTATTCCCATTAAGAGCTACAGTCCCGGAAACTCACAGGGGCAGGTCTACCCTGTCCTAGAGGGTTGCTATGAGTCAGCATAGACTCGATGGCAGTTTGGCTTTTGGTTTTCCTCTGCCATCCCCTCAAGACGCCATTGATCCAGTTACTGTTTCCACAGATATACCTATACCGGATTTCCTATACAGAAAACCATGCAAAACACAAACAGGAAGCAAACAACAAGAAAAAACAGAAAGACATCAATTAAAAACAAAGAAAAACCTTAAAAATGGAAACAACTTTAACATGGGTCAAAAGGTAGATCAATGATAAGGTGTTGCATTGTAACCTAACTCCTTCTGCTATCATCGACTTTACAGTGTTCTCTGTCCAACAGCAAGACTATTCACACCCCCAGAGTGCGGTCCAAGGGCATTCATCAGAGGCTTAGTCCACATAGAGATCCTGCAAATGGATTGTGTAAACCAGGTGTTCAGAATTAAAGCTCTAATATGGTTTCCTCATTTTGAATGATTGACAATTCTTGTATCACACAGGCTGCTATGCTTCATTCGTGTAGACAGTTGATGCCTCGCTTAAATGGCTGCTTGTTTTGTTTTGTTTTTTAAATCACTTTATTGGGGGCTCGTATAACTCATCACAATGCGTCCATCCACCCATTGTGTCAAGCACATTTGTATATTTGTTGCCATTGTCATTCTCAAAACATTTGTTTTCTACTTGAGCCCTTGGTATCAGCTCCTCATTTTCCCCCCTCCTCCCCGCTCCCCCCTCCCTCATGGACCCTTGATTGGCTGGTTGTTTTAAGACAAGCCTTTACAGCTTCAGTCACTATTCTTTCTGATAGCCAGTCATCCTTCTGGTTTCACCACACTTTTCTATTAACAAAACAAAACAAAAACCCTCACTGCTAATGAGTCAATGCTGACTCATAGAGACCCCGTGTGGGTTTCCAAGATTGTAACTGTTTACAGGAGTAGAAGCCCAGTCTTTCTACTGAGGAGATGCTGTTGGTTTCAAATTGCCGACCACACAAACTGCAGCCCACCACGGACCCATTACACCACAGGCTCCTGTATTCAGTGATCACTTCATAAGGTGAGTTTCGAGCAGGGTCATGCATGTCATAAGAAGGACTGACAAATGTCCTAGGAAAGCAAGGAGAACTGAAAGAGTAAATAAAGTTAGTCTTGGGCCACCATTCACTGGACACCCTCTAAGAAAGTGGGTTCAAAGACGACTTCTTCAGGCCAAGGCTGTCCTACAGAGAACTGGCTCCACGGACTACGGAGCTGGCCTTATCTACAATTCCCAGCCACTGTAAAGGGTTTTTGATTAATAACAAGCTCTTTGGTGGACATGAGGTCATGGTGTAAGACATGTTTTACAAATTCCTGAGATAACTGTTTTGAAACCCACTAGGGATGGTTTTAGGGTTCCGCTTGAAGGACCGGTGAGTGTGACTGAAAACCTCTGTAGTTTGTTCCTGAAATCAGAAACGCGAAGTCTCTACATGCAAAAGATCCTAACCGATCTTATTTGTGATCTTGAGCAAAGACTAGCCTATCAAATAACTATATTTCACTTCCTTTGTACTTGGACTCTGTCTTTTTAGTGGTTCTTTACTTGGAATAATCAGCTCTCACTGGGGTGGGCTGCTGTCGTCCTGCCTCTGAATGTACCTCTTTTCTAAATAAACCCTCTTAAAGATCAATTTAAGGACTGAGTGCTTAATATCTTTGTAAGGACCATGTGAGTTTTTTCACAGTAGAAATTAGATTGAAAATATACGTTGAAGTACAACTGGCATAAAATACACTCTGTGCACTAACGGAAGGGAACCCCTGGTTAAGCTTCCGACTGCTAACCAAAAGCTGAGGGGCACCCTCGCCCACATTGACAGCCTCAGAAACCTGCGGGGTGGCTCCTCGCTGCCCTAAATGGAGGCACGCACTGGATGGCAGATGAGCAGAGATTCCCAAGAGTCTCCACTTGTGCATTACCGTTAGAGAGCACTGGATAACTATGAGAAAATCTTTGAACACTCGAATTGTGGCCTTTTGCCCCCCTAGATTTTCCCCCCCAGTTTTTTCAAAACTAGAATTGACTCTGACATAATAATAATGTTGTTTTCACTGTTTCATGCTATTCATTTAAGGATGTGGACATGGGTATAAAACGTATGTAATGAGATGACAGTGGCATCTTTTCCGTGGTGTGACTCCAGATGAGAGCTGAGTCAAGCTGGTGCACCAAACAACAGCATGCCTCAAAGTGAACCTTTGAAACTGATGTTCACTTTTCAAAGGTTGCTGTAAACTGAGCAAAACTGATACCAGGCAGATCCATCTATCTAACAAGACTAGAGCAAGAACTTCACATTTACATGAACACCTGATTAAAACAAACCACTGCCCTCAGAAACAGCGCGGTCATACAGTTACCCTGTCTTTTTATTCCGCTTTATTTCGATCGCAGCCTCATAGGAAATGCCATCTTTATTTTATTTTTCACTTAGCACCAATAACAAAGTACTAACAGTGCAAAGCTTTCCTGAATATCTGAGATCTTCTACTCTCCACGGATGCTTTCTGTCCCATTTTCTTAGAGACAAACTCAAGGGGCAAGACAGTTTACACAGCTCCGTTTCTGCTGTCGCCATTAGGTGCTGTCCTGTCCGTTCCCACCCCTACGGCCCTGTGGACGACAGAATAAAGCCCTGCCTAGCTCTGCGCCACGCTCGCAACTGTCGCCAGGTTAGAGCCCATTGTTGCAGCAACTGTGCTCCATCTGGTTGGCTGAACAGAGCTTTCGCTGCCTTGCCAATAAGGAATTTACTGAAAGCTTTTCACCTACCTTGGCCTGAATCAGTGGAGACGCTTCTAATTGGTAGTTTATGAATCCTTCCTACAAAACTTGCAAAACACATTAAAACTTTAGTTTCCACTGCCACGTTCCTTATATGTTTTTCTCTGCCAGTGAACAATCAGATAAGGTTTCTTTGACTAAGGAATGGGAAAAGGAGTGGCCTAGATCAGAGAAGAATCGAAGCATTTGCATTACAGTGCTGGCAGAGAGATTGGAAGTACCTGGGACTGCCAGAAGAACAAGCTGACCTGTCCTAGAAGCGGTACAACCAGAATGACTAGAAGCAAGGATGGAGACTTCAGCTCACGGGCGCTAGACTTGCGATCAGAGACCAGTCCCTGAAAAGAACAGCATGCTCCGTAAAGCAGCCGGGCAGTGGCAAAGAGGAAGCCCCTTGCCGGGGTGGATTGACACAGTGCTGCAAGAGCAGGGTCGTGCATATCAACAGTCGGAAGGATGGTGCTTCCTCCTGTTGTTCACAGGCCGCTGTGATGGCCCCAACTAACAGCAACTTCCGAGACATGGAAGGCCAGGCCGTGTCCTCGGACCTGCTTTCAACTGACATTTGCTCTC